GGCATCATCACAGTATGGTGAGGGGCGTATCATTTCCGTCTCACGCTTGAGGTATTCGGCCAATCATAACGCACTGGATAGCTGGCTAATCAGAGCACACCTCGCTTTTCAGACTGATGAGCTTTGTAAAAATCGACGCGTTTTAAAAAGGCGGGGCATAGAGGAGAAACAATAATGTACAGTATGTGGAAAATAATGTGTTTTTTTAACTAAAAACCGAATAAACACATTTCATTACACCAAATACACAAAATAATGTTCTTTTTAGCAGCATCATATGACCCCTTTAAAAAGTAAGAATACGTCAACACGCGGCTGTATTTCAAATCGCTGGTACACGCCCAATAAAAATGTATTTTCAGTCTCAGCCAATCAGAAGCGCCGACGGAGGAACTTAGCGTTCAGCTATTGGTCTGTTTAAAAATCGCCGCAAACACAGAGCCACCCATTTAAATGCTCTCGCTGGAGTCACACACGGAGTTTGGATTGGAAGACGACCGAAGCATTTCATTGTTGATATCTGCTTTTGTACATATATAGGTGTATAAAACTTAACAAAGTTGATTTGATACAGCTTGAGAGATTAAAAGGAAAATAGAGCGGACTGCACGTGGAACATCTTGAGCTTTAAGGTGAGTTTAAGTTTATTTATTGGACAATAATTTGTATTGTTGCTAAAAACACGACACGGTAAGAATTGCTACTTCTTTATTTAACGTTAACGTTAATTGAATTAAGAGTTTTACGTACATACATTTTAGCAATGTTCCAGCAAGCCAGCAGGAGTCCGTGCATTAGGGTTGTATCTGCTTTTTCGCTTCTTACCATTAATGTTTTCATAACCCGTGCTGTTTTTCAGTAGCAAACAGTGTAAAATGGGTGCCGGTGAAAGCAAGCTGTCTGTGGCATCAACACCAAAACTAGAGCCGAGAGCTGAACGAGTAGCGAGACTCTCAGACCCGCGTTCACCGTCATGCGCTGTCGACCGCACACCTATACAGGTACAAACACACAGCCAACACTTCTGTTGAGTCTCTCTAATAAAAGATTCATTTCGCTTATCTATTAGCCAGACTGTGAGCCGAATTATGCCATTTTCAGATCCCATGTGAGCAATGGGCATACGAGTTTGATTGTATTTTCCTGTAGGTGGGCGTGGCTTACTCTCCTCTTCCTGTGGCGGAGTCAGTCGGGCCTGTGTTTGACCCCCGCTCACCCACACCTGGCATCACTCGAACACCAGTAAAGGGTAAATGAAGTGTATCACACGTGAACTCCGTTTATGCGTTTTTAATTCAAAATATTTAAACACGGCGAAAAGAGCTCCATCTGAAAGCTAATTAATATTCATAAGCTCCAGCCCTTTCTGTAAAGAGTGCACTTTTCTCCGTTGCCTTGGTTGTGGAAGTATTTTTCCCATAGGGAAAAGTCTGTTAAAGAGTTACAAGCCATGAACCAAACCTACCAGCTACAAGATGAATAACACTACAAACTTTGATATATATATTTTTTTTTTAGCTACAAAGTTTTTTAAAATTAGAAAGACAAAGGTTACAAGAAGGTGTAGTTAAAGGAATAGTTCACCCCAAAATTACAATTTTGTCGTAATTTACTCACCCTTATGTCGTTCCAAACCTGTATGAGTTTCTTTCTTAAGTTGAACATCAAAGAAGATATTGAGAAATGCTGTTAATCAAACAGTTGATGGTCCCCATTGACTTTCATAGTATTTATTTCCTTACAATGGAAGTCAGTGGGTGCCAACTACTGTTTGGTTCTTCAAAATATCTTCTTTTGTGTTCAACATAAGAGAGAAACTTTTACAGGTTTGGAACAATATAAGGATGAGTAAATGATGACAATTTTCATTGGGGGGTGAACTATTCCTTTAACTGCTTTCATGAGGGGGAAAAGGGAAAAAAAGAACTATAGGTAAATATAAAACTATTGATTTAAAGATGTTGGTTATGATACACATTTTACATTCATAATGCATTCACATATGCATATACTGTTAAAACACAAGTTGAAATAATGCAGGCTGATGACTTCAGCAAATGCATATAACGTTGAGTAACAACATTATAATTCATCCATTTTTAACGGTTTAAGTTATTCAAAATCAATTTCCTGAAGGAGAAAATTTAAGTCGCCCTCCTCAGCCCTCCCACTTTAAATTCACTACAAAACTGGAATAGTGACAGCCTCCTATATTGTGACCCATCCAAGTGTAACGGTTAATCAAAGAAGAATGTAGGGTGGGTTTATTGATTAAAGATTATAAGGTCAAAATTTTTAAAAATGAAACGCATACATGGATGAATCGTTCTCAATCATAATTCTTTAAGATAAAACTACTTTGTCTCCTTTACAGTGAGTGTCGCGTCTCTTGCTCAGCGGCTGAGCACCTTCTTTCTCAATGACGTCAAGTCCGGTAGCGACTCTGTTCCTCCCCTTCCTCCGGTCTCCTTCACCAAACACCCCGGCCTGCCCAATGTGAATCTGCAAAATGAAGCAGTCCCCAGAGATCCTCTGCTCCCTCTGGTAAAAGCCCAGAACTCATCCACCCTCAACGGACACGCAGATGCTGTGTCCACCCCTTCAGAGGGCTACGGCTCCATATGCAGCAGCCCGTTTGTGTTGATCGGAGACGCACAGATGGAGGTGGAGGTGGATGCTGAGGCCTCGCTGGAAGAGGCGGAGGAGGCTCTGCTGCTCTGTGCTTCACCATTAAGGAAAGAGCTCAGTTTGAGTCTTCTTGCTTGTCGTGAAGGTGTTTACTCATCTTCTCTGGAGGAACGTCCTCTGACTCCTCTTCCTCCTGCTGAGAGGCAAGCGAATGAAGATCACTCCTACGCGCTCTTCTCAGTCCCACCACGATCCACAGAGCATGAAACTTCCACGCCTGTTGTTGAAGCTATCGTGACCTCGGAGGCAGATGAGGTCCCGTCACAGACCTCTGAGGAACAGGTTTGTTTTTGAGATTATTGAAAGACTGTGTCGTTTTAGGTTTCATCAGTAGTTCATCATTCATCTGTATGCAGTTATACTACACTTCCATTTGAAAAGTTTGTGGGCAGTATGATTTTTTATTTTTTATTTTTTGCATTCAGCAATGATGCATTAAATTGATCAAAAGTGACCGCAGAGATTTCCATTTCAAATAATTGCTGTTATTTTGAAATTTCTATTTTTCAAAGAATCATGAAAAAAATAATTGGAATATTTATTCATTAATTGTTTTTAGTTAATTCTGTGTTTATTATAATTGTTTCTTGAGGAGCAAATCCGAATATTAAAATTATTTCTGAAGGACCATGTCACACTGAAGACTGAAGTAATGATGCTGAAAATTCAGCTTTGAAATATTTTATGTAGTAATATCTCACAATTTTCCCCCCCCAATTAAATACAGGCTTGGTGTGCATTAGAGGCTTCTTTTAAATCAATTAAATTAGAAAAAATCATTGAATTGCAATTTTATATTTGTGAAAAAAATATTTTTACATTTTATACCTTTTCTATGATACGCATATAATAACTTTATATTTGGATTTGTTTTTTAAATATCTTGAATAATTATATAAATTTCTAAGTTATAAATTTTTTTCAAATGATTACTTACAGTTTGTATTTGTGAATTTTTTTATTTTATTTTTAACATTCCAAAAAATATTAAATAATTGTGCAAACAAAAATGATGCTTTTTAAATTAAGTTAAATGGATGGTTTTCTTTGTTTTGGGTCCATTGAAAATATCAGTAAAGATAGGAATCTAAACTATTGGCCTGATTTAGCAAGCAAAAAAAAAACCATACTGTTGAACGCTGTGAGGAACTGACTGATGTGTGTCCTTCCTCCATCAGGTGACTTCTGCACTTCCAGAGTCCAGCCATGAGCAGCAGGAGGAGAGCAAGCCTCCCACACCTCAATCTGTTGTCTCCTCCAGCAAATCCAGCCCAGTTGAAACGGTCCAGTCCGGCATCCGTTGTCTGAAGTTTGACACCCGCAGCCCAAGTCAGGCCATTTTTAAGCCCCAGTGGTTGGGCGTGGGCTTCGGGAGCACTGGAGTCAGAGCGAGAGGGGTACAGGCGCGTGGAAAGACATCTGTGTCCTCACCACTCTCCACCAAAAACACGGCCACAAATGAGAATAACAACATGGTTGTGCGCACCAAACAGAGACCAAGAGGTGAGTGTGTCCGTTCACCACACAGCATCAACATTTTGTACAGCTAAAATAAGTGAAAGCGGACGACAGCATTGGCTTTTAGGTGGATAGAAGACTAACAAAATGATGAATCTGTAGTGTACACTAGAATGTACTAGTGTATTTTTTCTGAGGTATTTGCTTGTTTAATTATACAGAAAAAGTTCTGGTTGGTGAGGGCAGATCGCCTCTGCAGATCCTGAGGGAGGCTAATTCACCCAGAGACCGCAACTCCCAGGTAATTGCTGTTATTAGTCACTAGTTATATTTAAACCTCTGTGCTTATTCAACTTGTATTATGTAGTCACTTACTAAATGGATCTTCATGTCTGTCTTCAGATGAAGTTGAAAGTGTCCACCCCTGAAAAACAGCGATTCAGCCAGATGGACAGGAGAGCTCTGATTCTGTCACTCAACAAGGAGAACGAGTGATTCGAACCGAGCAGACCAGGATAAATCCAGCCAACACTGTGTATATACTACAGTTTTAAGCCTTAAACTACATGATCATTCTTTACCGTTTCTTTGTGTGTCTGTAAATAAACACTGTTTTAATGTAAATAAAATATCATTTGATTTTAGATATTGTTTCTTTTTTTTTTTTTTTTTTTCTGATCTTATCAACTTGTCGTTCACAAAGCATGTCTAATGATGAAAATGTCATAGTATGCCACTACTTTCAGCCCTGCAATTATTGAAAAATTATTAAAACGGTCAGCCGATCAACATTCTGCAGTTATGTTTAACTCTGATGCCCACATCCTTTTTAAAGGCGTTGTTACTAATTTATCTGAACTATTTTGTAACATCAGAACTGTTATCCAATATCGGTTTGCTACTGTTCAGAAGTCTAGGATCGGTTTGTTTGTTTTTGAAAGAAGTCTCTTGTGCTTGCCGAGGCTGCATTTATTTGATTGAAAAATACAGTAAAGGCAGTGAAATAGTATTACAATTTAAAATGACTTTTCTATTTTAAGATGTCCTAAAATGTAATTTAATTGTGAAGAGGAAAGCTGAATTTTCAGCATCATTACACTAGCCTTTAGTGTGTGTCACTTGATCCTAAAGAAATCAATAGTGGGAAGTATGTGGGAAAACAGCTTCATATTTTTGTGGCAACTGTGATACATTACATTTTTTCCAGATTTGTTTTATGAATGGAAAGTTCAAAATAACAGCATTTATTTGAAATAGAAATATTTTGTCACATTTACTGTCACTATTTTAAACAATGCATCCTTGCTAAATAAAACTATTCGTTACCTTCGGGGGAAAAAATTACCCCAAGCTTTAGAATGGTAGTGTGTACATTGTAGCACATAATAATCACATTTGTTTTCAATTTCATCAGATATGAGAGATATAAAAATCAGCCAGGTTTGTCGTAGTTTTTTTTATTGGCAGAAAAGCAGAAAAAACAGATGACACTAGCAGTGCACTATCAAAAAAAATCTTAACACTAAATTTAATAAAAAGCTTCAATCAGACAGTCTCACTAAAACGTGTTTAATCTATCTATAATTTGTAAACTACATTTTATAAAAGTGAAAACATCATTCTGTGCAGACTTAAGTCATTATATTCGATCTTGCGCAACTATTTTGGCAACCTCTGTCATATAGGTTTGATAGCACAGGATGCATTTAGATATCAGTAAGCTTAATTCAACTAGTGTTGAAAGTCTTATTTCATATGCTATTATTGATAATATACTGTGACACCCATGTGTTAAAGACCCTATCCAAAAAGTACCTCACAAATCACCAAATAGGTAATGGCTTTGTAAATGCCCACTTTTGCAGTTAGCAGTCCCTGAAAAACAGGTTTTCTGGTATTGCATGATTTCTTTGACAAGATTATTCTACAGGTCAGCCCATCTCTAAATGAGGTTTTCTTATTCACAATCGTTCTCGTTGTGACGGCACAACAAACATATCGCTTTCCCTCCCTACTTATACAACTATATCCCACCATTTCAATTGTCCCCTTTACATTTTACCCTGTCTTTGACATATTCTATGTTTGCCTCCGTTTGAGACAGAGCCTTAGTTCCAGATCTTCAGAAAGCTATCCCATGATCCTGTGCAGCAGGCCATCCCATCAGGTGTCACGCCAATACAGCTCACTCTGTTGTCATGACCGGACAACACTCCTGGAAAAGACAAACACTATTTTATTATAGTTAATAAACAGATATTTTTGCATCTAATATGCTTTATCGTTCTCCCGAGGTTGACATCCATCCTTGCATCTCTTTCCGATGACATACCGACTCTCTCCGCCTTCAGCGAGTCCCAGATGTTGCAGTTGAAGTCGTCGTACCCAGCGAGGATGAGTCTTCCAGAGAGGGAGGGAGCGAGGGAGGTCACGCCGCACATGATGCCGGAGTCCTGGTACGTGATGAGCTCCTGGTCTGAACGCAGGTCGTACAGCTTGCAGGAAGCATCGTCTGAACCTGTGATCACTGCATTGCCATTGGGGAAAAACTGAAAGGTGACACAGAGAGAAAAATGGATGCATTTATTATAATACAGTTGAAGTCAAAAGTTTACATACACCTTGATTCTTTTTGTTTAGTGATAGTTGTTCATGATTCATTTGTTTGTCCTGAACAGTTAAACTGCCCGCTGTTCTTCAGAAAAATCCTTCAGGTCCCACAAATTCTTTGGTTTTCCAGCATTTTTGTGTATTTGAACCCTTTCTAACAATGACTGTATGATTTTGAGATTCATCTTTTCACACTGAGGACAACTGAGGGACTCGTATGCAACTATTACAGAAGGTTCAAACGCTCACTGATGCTCCAGAAGGAAAAACCATGCATTAAGGGGGTGAAAACTTTTGAACAGAATGAAGATGTGTACATTTTTCTTATTTTGCCTAAATATCATATATTTTTCAATTAGTACTGCCCTTCAGAAGCTACAGAAGATACTTATATGTTTCCCAGAAGACAAAATAAGTTAAATTTACCCTGATCTTCAAATTCAAAATTTTTTCTTAATGCATAGTTTTTCCTTCCTTTCCTTTCCTCCTCCTTTTGGTAAAATAATTAAAATTTTGCAGATTCTGCAAGGTGTATGTAAACTTTTGACTTCAACTATATATCGCAAAACTTGCTGCCACTGTAAGTGTGTGCTGTGTGGATGCTTCAAGCTGTTCTCAGTGGTTGTTAGTGTATCGCTATGTGGTTTCTAAGTTGTTCTGAGTGGCTGCTTTCTGATCCATGTTCAAAGACTTTAGAATATTTTTGGTCCCTAAATATCCTTCATGTTTGTAGTGAAAACAGTACAGAATAATCTACATAATGTACAAGTTAAATACATTAAGGCAGTGGTTTCAACCAGGGGCCCGGGGCCCACTAGTGGACCTCACAAACTTCCAAGGGGGCCTCAAAATAACTTAAAAATGTTAATAAAATAAAAAAAAGCTTAAAAAAGGCAAAAACAACTAAAAATCACCCCTTCTACAGCAGTTTTTTTTTTCTTTGAAGAACCAGTTATGAAAAGTAATAAAATTACATTAATTTTATAATAAATTAATAAAAATGTATAACTAAAAGTATTCAATTATTAAAACTTATAAAAATAAAAATGAATGATTAAAAGTAATAAAAACTAATTCTGAAATAAAATACAAAATAAATGTCAGATGAAAAACTTACTACTAACTAACTGAAATAACTGAAATAAAATGCTTTATTTTAATACATTAAAATAACAAACTAAAAGAAAAAGCTAAATAGAAATATTTAATATCTAGTAAAAATGATAAAGGCATATAACAACATTAGTAAAATGTAAACATTTTAATTAAAAACTAACAAATAAAAAAAAAAAAACTAATTGAAAATAATAAATACTATAAAAGTATATTAATAATACTCAACAACAGTGCTCTATGGACATTTTTATCATGTATATCCATCCTTCTAGTTTTGGCAAATTTTAAAATATTTTAGTAGTAAGAAATGTTTTGAAAAAAAAAAAAAAAAACTGTTAAAATCTTGTGGCCTTGAAATATTGTTGCCGACAATGAGGAGGTGTGGGGAGGGGGTAAAAAAGGTCAAAAAATTAATTCATTAAAAATGTAAGTAATCAATATTTCTGTGGTTATGGATTAATTACAGCCTTACTGATCATTCTTACCCCTATGGCGTTAATGTCACTCTCATGGCCTCCAAAGGTCTGTCTGCACTGGCCGTCACGGATGTCCCACAGTTTGGCTGTGAAGTCACAGGCTCCTGAGATGAAAGTGTTGAAGTCAGGGGCCACACCCAGAGACATACAGTCACCCAGATGACCCGCAAACACTGTCTTCTGCGATCCTGTCTCGATGTCCCACAGAACACTGGAAACAGGTCAGAGGTCACCTTGTTATTACTGTTACATTTTCTTTGCTATTTTAGTTTATAGCTATTAGAAGTCTAAAGTGAATGTACCAGGTACAGTCTCCAGAGCTGGTGATGATCTCATTGTCATTCAGGAAGCGGCAGCAGGACAGGTAACCTGATCAACACAAAACCCATAACAGACATTCAGATCATATACAGTCAAAACAGAGGTGCAGCTAGCTGATGTTAAATATTTCATTGGCTAGACTGGTTCACATATGCTCACCTGTGTGTGCTGCGAGCTCACGCATGACCTTCACGTTGCCATCTTTGCCCTTCAGGTTATAGATGGAGCACATGTTGTCAAGTCCTCCACACGCCACCATGTTTCCTGAAGGTGCGTACGAACATGTCATCACCCACGAGGACTTCAGTGGGATTGCGTGCACCTAGACCACAATCAGAGAGGATGGGTAATTAATATTCTACAGATCAAGGTTTATTGGCGAATGGTATTATATACATTGAGCCTTATTCGTGAAACTTTCGTAAATATGAATAATTGGTGTGTAAAATAGACCTTTCCCTTTGTCTGTAATAAAAAGGAAAGTGGACATGTTTGTTCATGAATTAAATTAATTTTCTCATTGTTAATAAAAACGTTTGGATGTTTTACACACTGTTTACATGTTTTTCGGAGCAGGTGTACACATTTTTTCATATCAAATAACATTTTGAAAATATGAACACTTTCATGAACAGTAAAATAATTCATGAAAATTTACATCTGAACATTGTTTTACAAACGATTTACACAAAAATTCATACTGCTTGTGTTTCATGAATTAGATCCAGTGGCAACTTTCTCCCATTTGTGGCTTTATTTCTAATAATTGCAATAATTGTCTCATTGCATAATTATGTGCCTTAAACTGTGAGATGATGAAATCACAAATGGAACACAGTCAATTGTTAGATATAGTCGCAATAGCATTAAATAAAATCAAAATGACCTTGGTTTATGATTAAATATGTGGCATAAAGCAGCTTCTATAACCTATAAGAACTGAAACCATCTCAGTCGTGCTTTCGTGCTTCATGTCATTTAAATACGTCTCCTCCCTCTTGCACACAATGTGACCACTGGCAGGTACTGATTT